ATAACGTAATTTCGTCGACCACTCAATGGATAGAATCATAGGTCAACAATTCCGTGTGGGGATGACAAGGAACTAAATGTGCACACATAACGCACAATGCCTTGTGGATCAGTAACTGTGACGTATTTCCTTCAAAAAAAGGCATTTGCTCTTCTAGGCGCCTTGTAAAGGTGGAGGGGACCAGTGAATGCGCCCAGCAGCTACCTGCTCTCTTGTTGTTGGAGGGCAGCTTAGAAATAACATAATTCCCAGGGGAACAGCGTTGGCAGATCCAAGAATTTTTCGGGGGGGGGGTTCAGGCCCGTCAAATTTTTTATGCCCGATCGTTATGGACAGATCTAGACGGGAACAAAGAAAATGCATTACATAGTGCTGTATGCGCACAACAACCTTTACATGATGTCATTCAAAAATGACGACTATCTATGTCATTGTTTTTCGTTTTTTGTATTATGTCCTTTAGTGGGTGTCAGAGTGGGTTTGACCACCTCCCTCTATATCCACGCCTCGGGTGAGGCTCCTGAAACTTCCCAGGGTTTTTTGGCAAAGGGCCAATAGACACGGCAGCATGGCTTCAATGGATGAAAACTGCGCGTGAAAATGTCAAAGCGGAAGCCGGACCTGGGAATTAAATCCCGAAGAATAAAGGATTTCTGTAGTAGAGGAAACCCTTAGGATCTGGCGAAAGAGCGCTGACCGTCGAAAAAACATAGTGCTCTAATGGCTTTTGTCTAACCCTAACAGTCCCAAATCCTTCGATTTCAATGTGATTTTACATACACCCTCGGGGATTAGCGTTAAGTACCGGGCGTGCAGCGTCTGCAAAAACACTACACCCCATGAGGGTTCACTCTCAGCAGAAAACAGACTGAAACCACATCATCTTTCATGCAAGCATCTTATCCGGGCTTTGCAGGGATTGAACAGTGTCTTTTTATGGTATCCCGCAATCTAATGAAATTATTACATTTCCCTGTCATTGATTGTATTTTTTGAAGTCTCCACAAATAAGCTTGTTGATTGAAGCATATATCAGTCCTTGTGTGCGGCTTTAACTCAACGTCTGGTGCGTAATTTCCTCAAGCCAACTTTACTTGTGATCTGCTAGTGCTTCCCATCGACAAGTTAAATGCCAACTTGCTCGACAGTGCCCGGCTGTTGCGTGTGGACGTGTTTCGCTTGTCTTTTCAATACACGGATCCCTCATTTGTGGAGGGATTTTGGGGGGTGCGCAAATGCCACGTACATGTATATTCCTAGCAATGCTGAGAGAAATAAGCTAACATTTGACGAAATATTTCCAGCTTCGCGAAGCTGCTCCAGTCGTGGTTTATAAGAGGAGATGTCAGATTACGCTGAACTTACACTCAATACATTTAATGGTTGTGGTCTTCTGCAAGTGGCGGTAACGCTTGCCACTGCTTTTATAACTTGTATTAAACTGAAGAGAGCAAAAGATCCCTATATTTGCACACTAACACTCTTTCAACAAAACTGTTTGACGATCACGTCATTGAAGTTTCTTCACTTTATGACCAATAATGCCAACCACAAAATAGCCAAACTGCTTTCCAAGCGAGGAAACTTGTTTAACCGGGCATTTCCGCACAGTGCCTTCCCCACGTCAGGCGCCCAGTGTCAAATGCATTTAACCTTGCCGCAGCTACCAAGCCAGTGCTTTGCTCAGATCGTCTAACGGCTGTGGTTGATAACAGTCGAGTTATCTTTCCTCCTTTTTTTCTTTCTCTCATGACACCATTTCACCTTCCCTCCTAGTGTCAGGTCGATATTTCACATCTGCTCCTATCGACATTCACATCATTATTTTATCATCCCGAACTCGGTATCGCAAGTGATAGTTTTTATATCATCGATTTCCTCGTTCTCTCTGTCACAATTCCAGAACAGTTGACGCCTGGTGCAACACACCTAATACAAGATGTTCAGCAGGTGTGTGCTGGCCGACGCCTCGCGGTGTCTTTGACCAGTTCTTCTGATTCGTTTGGTATGTATTTATGCGGCATCCGGTCTTCGGATACCCATTGACGTGAAACACACTTTTTTCCCTGGGGACTATATTGTTACACTCCCCTTCGTACCTGACCAACGCCTGAGCGTGTTTGCACCAGTAACCGCTTGTTACTTTGCATTGCTCCTCAACTTTATTGGCCCTTGAAAAGGAAACAATTCTTCTTTGAAAATGTCAGCCGATGCGATGTTCTCAATAACGGCAGATGTCTTTCGGGATTTACGAACTCCCTCGTGGCTGACTTATATAGGAATTGCGTGTGTCATGCCAAATAGGTAAAAATAAAGTTGGTGGAAGATACCAAGTAAATACCTCTCACAAGAAAATCATTTAATTTTCTCGATTTTTGATTCTCAAAACTTAATTTTCTCTCGGATAAACCTCGGGAGAAAACTTTGAAGTCTTTTGCTATGTAAACTGGCTACTAATCTAATACTGAAGATCGCTACACCACTTAGACAACAAGTGACAACTGAAAATTAAACAGGATATCATCGACGTTTACAGTGAACGAGTAACACATTGTAAGCATTATTTATTTCATAAAATCAGTTCAATACTGGTAACATTGTATAATGTCTGGGTCGATGCAGAAGTTAGTTTCATTTCGCCATGATTTAGTTGTGCATTCAACCATGAAGACGTTTTCCGAATTTACTGTGCTTTATTTCGTGTTTTGCCTCTAAAACCAAATATAACAAACCAAAACAAATACATGTAGGTCGACATTGATGACGGGTACAGCATGAGGGAAAACATCGGTCGATAACAGACTGCACGGTGGTTTAAGGTCTCCAGGGCACCTATGAAGTCTTGCAGTCGAAAAGCACTTTGAGATGGAGCCACTGGTCCCAACATAGGCTAAAATGCAGATACATATCTGGTATCACTTGCGGGGGAAAACCCTGCAAGGTAGCATTTTAATCAAAAACGCCATCTACCTCTGGCGCCTCTTTCGCGGTCGGAACTTTGCATGATGATTATTTGCTTCAGGGACAATTAACATGGGATTGCAAGCAATCCAGTGAAGTAGTCTACCAGCGGTCGTGAGCAAAATTGGAAGAGATTTCTAAAACCGATACTCATGTCTCCCGTTTCAAGCGTCAATAACTGTCTGTTCCACACATGATTCAGAAAAGCAAGTTTGTACCGATGAGAGGTTTCTTCAGGCTAAAGTTCCAATTGTGGGAAATATCAATGAAAACTTAAAGAAAAGCGTCAGACATATATCTTTATCTAAACTGTGAAGGTATCTTTAATTATGAAGTTAAAGATGCCTAAAGTTGTTTACCGAAAGAGATAACTCCTACCACTGATATCAGGCACTGATGCAGTACAGTGTATTAAGACAACACCCACTCAGTATATCACCTTGACCACGAAAAGAGAAATGACCCTCGTCACTAAAGATTAAGTAAACACTGTATAACTTTAAGAATAAATGCAGCTAGGTTGTTTTCTTCCGCTGATAAAGCGGTTTTCATTGGTAAAATGAAAACAGCACTCGAAATCAGTGGCAGCAACGCCAGTGATACATCTTGGACAAATGTTCTGCTCAGTAGAACACCAGGGGGCGTTAATCCCCTGTGAAAAAAAACGTGAGGAAAGCAATTTTGTGGGTAGTTTTCAAACTTAACGCCATTGGATAGCACACAAAGACGGGTCCTTTTAGGAAGCAACCGGAGCCGAAGTATTTGCTCATTTTACTTGTGCAATATGCTTTATACACATATGCCAACAAAGGCTAGTTTTTCTCATTGATGAGACAAACGGGGAGATACAATGCATGGGATTCCGTAATTATGGAAGACGCTACGTTCGAATCATTCCATAAAGCATTGGTGCAGTATCATATTTAAGGTTGCTTCTAACTACTAATTTCATCGCTCCCTGCGTATAATGATTGTGTTTATTTTGGAAGATCAAGTAGCATTAAGACTGCAGGAAATACATTCAATTCATTCGAAAGGATGCTATTCGATTGTAATGGACAAACACAGGTAATGATTTATTTTCAGGGAAGCGTGGGTATGAATTTAAATGAAAATTAATAAACTAGTCGTACACCTAGTTCGACAGCACCCAGCAAACAAACAGTTAAGATATGGAAGGAGAAAGAATTACATTGAGGATTCTTCTGCACAGTTAGAATTTGTATTTATACACCCCGAAGATCACACATACAAATACCAGGTGCTGGATTCGCTCCTCCGACCTGTGACTGGGAGTTACAAATCTAGATTTCCGGGGCTCCTGTCACAAAACATGGTACCACTGTCATGATAATAAGTCGGCACCTTTGAATAACAAACATTGCCAGATATCCGACCGTAATCCTTATAAATGTTGTCGTGCTGTTGCAATGACGACCATCGGCACTGGCGCTTGCTGCAGCGAATCTTCAAGAGTCGCGCTCGCATTCTAACCTTTCCCGCCAACTCTCCCTCCAACAAACTACGGGCCATTACTTTAACAACTCGCTAGCGAGTAGGTCACATCCACAAGACACTTTCGCTTCACACAATCGATGGATCTAACGTTGCCCCATCCGGTGGTGCGGGCAGAATGAAAATGCAACAGTTTAACCCAGGGGGAAAGTGTCACACGGAGCAGCATATTGATAATGTGAATCAGGAGACATGACCCCGAGTATTATTTTTGGGGGGAAGTGGAATATTGGCTTTCTGTATTGACAGCATGCGAGTGCAGAATAGAGGATATCACTTCCACAACATAACAATTACTAGGAAATTTCTCTTTGATCGCACAGCCAATCTATACGATGCAGAAGCCATCACACATACTTTACTAAATCTAACAACTTACATTTGGTTTTAGAACGTCTTCCTTAACATTAAACGGAATCTAAGCAGGAACTTTAAATGTTACCAATTTGGTATTTCGTAGTGTCATCGCGAATGAAACGTTTGGAAATGTTAGTCTGACAGTTCTGACGGGAAAGTTGACTTACCTGCTGAATGAAAAATATAAGGGGGCACCCCAGTGAGCCGAAATACCAGTCCTCCTTCATGATGTAGACGAAGGTAAAGGGCATACAGAAAACGGCCGAAAGGAGATCCGCCACGGCCAAATTGACCAGGAAATGGTTGAGGTCCGTCTTGGCCCGGGCAGCGAAACCCAGCACGGCGATCACGATGACGTTGCCGACCACAGCAAGGAGGATGGTGAGAGAGTAGACGGCGGTGATGAGGGACTGTGCCGTCTGGTCCTGGACCCCGTACTGTAGGTCGCAGAAATCCTCCTCGGGCTCTCTGGATGGCTCGCTCGATGGGGGAAACCCGGTGCCGTTCGCCGGCAGCAAGCCCGTGTCGTTACCCAACGGCAGGTAGAGAGCCTGGGTGGAGTTTGTCCTGGCGATCTGATCGAAAGCCAAACCCAACAGGGCAGGAAGAAGATTTTCTTCAGCTGCCATAATGTGAACCGTAATCAGCGTTATCGGGGAATGAGGGAATAGAGCTCCTACTCCAAATGTTCAGTATTTGTCCATTAATTTTAACTGTTACATTGGGTTTATAAACATCTCTCACTGACGGAACCTTTTTAATGTGAAATGCCCGCTTATTAACAAAACCCTTTACTTAACACGCCGCGTGGCTTTAACGTGGCTTGTTCAAACACATTTGAGTGAAATGAGTGCCTGGCAAGTTGCATCATCTCCACTTGAAACGTTTCTTGGAGCACGCTCTTACTGCTGTCTTTGCGGGGACTTCTCAACAGCAGTCACATTTCCCCTGTAGTCTCCTTTCAAGGCGCCGGTGGTGCAACCTCAAGTGAGATTAGTTTTCATTGTTCTGGCCAGCTCAACGCCGTGTTCTGAAGCAACTCCAGCCGTCACGCCTGCTGCTCAGGCTTTTTTATCAATCCACTTACTGTTCCCATGGTGACGAATGACACAAGGGTACCGTTCTTCCGTCGAGAAAGATAAGTTACATGGTGGCGCAATATTAAAAAGCCCGCAGGGGATATGACGTCAGCAGATGCACCTCTCTAAAAAACAAGAGGGAGAAATACTCGTTATACAAGAAAAATGATTGAAAAGCTAGGTACACTTTGTACTTTGATAACGGTGCAAGGTTATTCCGCCATTCTTCATTTTTATTATTTTTTTCTTACAAAAATGCCCGAGGGTGACAATTTTTTCAAAGCACTGTCATCCTGTCTTACTGCAGTGTCGTAAAAATGTAGGAGCTATTGCTTCCGCTCCATTCATGCTGGAGCACCGGGAGAGGCTTACCTATATAATGCAGCTTATAAGAATTTGGCCATGGGAATCGGCAACAGGTTACGCAAAGTTTGCCTGCGTACAGGTTCAGCACGGAGTTGAGCTCGAGCGGGACTTGGCACGTTTCCTTCAGAGTACGTATAGGATTCCACTAAACCTGTGCCAGATAATCGATTATTCGAATGTTCGATCATCAGACCTCCATTTCGCTCACTGGAAGTGCAATCATCGCAAGAACTGATAGCGAGAAAAACATTGCGCTTCGTCTCTTAATAATTGTGCAAACACCAACCACCCACGCGATGCGAACTTGAGGAGAGAAAAGATCTTGCTTGTTGGGAATGGCCGTCTGGTATTTTTGTATCGTCACAAGTGAGAAAGGACAGCATGTATTATGCAAAGTGGACGATGCTTCTTCCGTGTCTCACACGTGTTTTGTTGTTGCTTTTGTTTATTTTACTACACTATGCCCCAACTTATCCTATGGTCTTACGAAACTATTGTTGCGTCCCAGTCACTAAAGCAATACCAACATTAGCAAAGGACGCGTTTAATAGCTTAATACCTTTTGTATTGCCTGCATTCCACAAACAATAAAGGTAAGTATGGTATGCCTATACCGGAGCACGTTTTGTGCTATTGGCCTTTCAGACGCACAGGCGGACACCATAGGAGGGCGCTGTTTGGTTTGGGTAAAGTCTTTTGTGTTTGCTCCAAATTTACCTACTTCAAAAAGCGCCCTCTTACTGTGTCAGCCCCAGCTTCTAAAAGGCTAATTGAACGTACCCCAGGTGAAGTTTTCCAAAAAGATCTGCCAATGAATATTTACAATAGTGAGGACACCTGGAAAGTAGGTTTAAAATTCGTTCTGTTTCATCCGTAACGCAGATTCCAGCCTCTTCTCTAGACTGTTACTCAAATGAAATGCGCTCAAACCCCTCGTCGTAAAATAATAGATACATAAAATGTAATTTAAAGAAAGATGTCGCTGCATGGCTCCTTTAGGTGAAGAGTACTCGTTGTACGTTGTGTTATTTCCCTCTGCGGTGAAAATGGACAACTAACATCGATCGGACTTTTATCATATAGACACTGTCTGTTATGAAAATCGAAAATCCAGCACGACCGGACTTTACTCTAAATTCACACAATTGAGTAATAAACGTGGAGAGCGACGGTGTCTCCTTGCTGACAAGCCCACCTGTTGAAAACTGTCCCTTGCTACTCCGGTAATTGGCTCAAAAAGGGTCAGGTTGCAAGGTGGATTCATCACTGTTGACTATACGTGCGATAAACAAGGTACACCGCTTTCATAATCGGATCAGAGATCTGCCTTTTTGCCTTTCATTAAGAATCCTTGCAGTCGTTATAAGACTCATCCCTTTCCAATAAAGATGAGCAGTTACTATAGTTCCTAACACACTATGAACTATTTTTACTCTCGAAAGGCTTTGCTGATTTGATAGGAAAGATAAGAAAAGACATCCTACTCCTTTATTTCCCCATATCAAACGAACATTGGACACTGAATTGTGTCTGATACAAAAAACCCACTAATACATCAAGCTTTTTGAGAGATACATAATGGACATACATGATGTGACCTGATGCGATTTCGAGTACAACGAGCGAGGTAATTTGTCTCTGTGGCTCCAGAAGGGGTTCCGGCGCCCCCAAGCGGTATTTACGTCAACGAGGAGTATACATACATGTATTACGACGAATGAGACCAAAATCATTAATGACGCAGAACGTCAGCACAAGTCGTCTTGTTTTGTCTCAACGTTTGCATTTCCATATGCTGACGGCAGAATGGCGCCTGCGTTGGGACATGCTTTCTTCCTGATCACATGACAAGCACCAGGATGTAGTTTTGGTATGTGTTCCCTGGGAACACTTCAACGTGAATAACTTCCCCGGGGACGAACGAGAAAAAGTACACGCGGACACGTATGTAGATAAACAAGGCGAATGCCTGTTACATGTAACTTACCCTGAGCTAGCGCTTCTGAACGAAATGAAGTCATCACAAGGGAGAATTATTCACTTAACGTGCATTTGAACGCCAATGGTCGTGAACGCTATGCACACTCTTGTGAAGAACAGCAAGGAATCTGTTCGAGGCTGCGAACTAAAATGTCAGTCCACCTCAGCTTCCGTCTTCTTCCTCCGATACAAGACAATCATGCCAGATAAATTCCATGAAAAAGGTAATTTCAACAAATCTGCCCAGACTTACAGGGAGGAGCCTCGTCGCGTTGTTAAGTTAATTGGCTATTTCATCAGGATATCCTTTCACACTCACTCCACAAATTTGCGACGAGGCCGGAAATGTCCTAATTCCCGCCGGCGGTCGTCTCTCCAGCCGGTCGCCAACTCACTGCCCATCCAGTTGAGCACCGTTGACTGACCGGCTAATAATTTATTCCAGCGACGAGCTGTTGACCTGCTTTTTGCTTTATCATCTTCTCCACCAGCGAGATGAAGTTGGGTCATATTCGAGGGGAGAACAGAGAGCGTGCGAGTGCATGTCTGCTTGGAGTCTCGGTGGGGTGACCGCAGCTTGTACTTGAATTACCGAGGCCGGCACGCGCGCGAAAGGTCGCACGCCGTCCAGATATTGGATCGTGCTTAAGTGGACCCGAAAAATAGATCAGATTAAAACAAGTAACACAGAGATACCAATTAGCACTTATAAAGGCTTAAGTTTACAAGAGTTATCAAAGTTTACTTATTAAGATAGGATAAACCGAAAAAAATTCATAAAATGTGGGAAAAAATTATTGATTTATTTCATGGTACTGTGATATTCTAAACAGAGATTAAAACACAACAAAGCAACATTTTGTAGAACTTAATCGAATCGTTAAAATCGTTGAAAAAGAAGCACGGATTGAAGGTTCATTTGGAGCAATGATTTTTCTTCTGAAAGGATTCTTGTATAAAGATACAAATAACCGAAAATTTAAAGAATTCACTCATCGAAATTTTGATCCAGGCATTACACTTTATGTCTCAATTTTTTACTAAACAGTAGAGACATGTACATGCCTCCTCAGTTCGAGCGAAACAACAGCATTTTTTTCAGCAAAATACCCTTCGGAAGATGCTCACGCGAAGTGAGGTGTTTCTGTCAAAAGAAACTAATGAAAGTTTTATGTTGAAAACAGCGAGAAGAGTTTGATGTTATGGTTTATGCCAGTTGTTATTGGTTTTTTGTTTGGTTTTTAACATTGGCGTGTTCACTTTTCGTGTTTGCTGTACTGACTAGACACCATCAAAGGGCAGCTGAACACTGCAGGCCACAGCACAACGTCAATTAGAAGTATTGGGCATCCTATATCAATTTTCCGCAGAAAATGAACGCCCAATTCCGGCGATTGTGCACGTGAGAGTTTCTCATGACAGGCGTTGGACCATTGAGCGCCATGACCATGAAGATCGCTTTTACACCTCTCCATACTCGCCAGGGTCCCGCCAACTCACACCTCAAGAATGACATGACACCTGTATGGGTAGAAGCCACACCACCCTGGCTTGTGGATTCATATAGCACTCATCGCTTCGCCCATATTGACAAAGCCCAAGAGTTCAGGTAACGGCTTTGGCTTTGTTAATAGGAGTTTAACAAATAAGTGGAAATCACCATAATCCAAGAAAACTTGAACACTAACCACACAGTTCTAGTCTCCCAGATTCCTCGTTTTTTCAACTACCAGTTTTCCATGAAAGCGTCTGTTCACTTGTGCAAGCTGCCAAAGTATGGTTGGCACAATAGCCATACGTTCGGCAATTCACTGAAAAGTTACAACACTTTAACCCCTTGAAAAAAATTGACACCCCAAAATGAACAATTTTGATTCAACTGCAAAATTTGCGTGGGGAGATTATGATGATATAACAACATCAAGGAGTTCAACGAAGACATCAACAAAAATGGCAACAAGCAAACAAATTTAATCCCATCTTACCTTTCTAAATAACTCCCAGCTATCCCACTCGGGTCATCCCAATGTTGCTGAGAGTATGTCGTTTCAGTATTTCAAAAAGGGCCAGTGAACACGCAAGTACACGTAGATATTATCTCATTTTCTCCTCTCCAAATCTCAGGTGCGTTGTAGATGTACTAGTTCCTTGGCTTGATACTAGGCTCATACAAGACTGCAGAACGGAAGGTGTTCTGCCCAAGGCGTATAGCGCATACTACATTTATACTAATCCCGTTCTCTCTCATTTTCTCACGTGTGGTGATCTCCAAAACATGACAAGTGGGTAATACTAAGTAAATACCAAGCCTCGTTGACCTTCAAAGCTACACGTGTTGGGTCACAAAACAAATATCACCACGACGTGACAATTATGAGTCTCTGCATTTTGTTCTCTGGCAGTGAAAGTAAACATAGCAGAAGAAGGACACGATGTTGGTAGTTTGTAAAGATGCGAGGGACATTAGATTCACCCCGCTAATGACTCAAGAAAATGAAAGGATATTTTTGCAAGTTTGAATAGAAAAGAAGGAAAAACGTCTTTGCATTGTGTGATATCATTCTGTAAGAGGGTATCAGCGACCCAAGGCCCCCCACAACCTTCAAAAAGAGGCGGATTGAGGTATACTGTCTAACATAAATAAGTGTCTTGGCTCCAATAGTCATTTGTGAGTGACATGCAAGACACAACCTCTAGCAAATTTGCGTAGGCCTTAGCTGCTAACCCTTGCCTCTGCCACCGAAGCCTGTTTTGAAGACCTACATGTAAATACAACCCTTACAGAAAAGGAAGTTTTTCATCTACTCTGTAGCGTCTATCCAAACCCTTCCAAAATGAATTACTTCATTCCACCTTATCAACCGCTTGGCTGGGACATAGCTCCAAGTTTCTTTTTGTATTAAAACCAATTAAGCATAAGGAATTGCCAAAGTATCTTTATCGGATTTGCCTTTTTGATATAGTGTGAAAAATACATCCGAAAGCTGAAGGTCAGGGTCAATATGGCAGTAAATTTGCAGGTACTACAATGTAGTTGGTAGTGGTCATGCTCTACACACTGCAAGCCTGGCTTTTGTGTACTCCACAGATGCGTACTGTGCACTGTTGTGGCTGAGAGTTGCCATGTCAGACAAATCGAGCCCGTCCTGAGCTGGGCCATGAGGATTATCTCGGCGACTCTTCTATCTACGCCTATCTTAGTTTCTCACTTGAATCCTATGTCCAAAATGAGGGAGCTGATCCACAAGAACCTGAATAATCTACCTAAAAGGCGCCTGGAATCTTGCAAACCCGTCTAGGTTTCCAAAGCGACCCTTCGTGCCAAGTTCAAACTGCAAAATATCTGGATAGATGCCAGTGTCACCAACAAAAGACCTTGTCCACTCAGTGTCCCGCGAAAACAGTGGACGGCTCCTAACAGGACCCGTACAGTACGTGACAAATCAGCTCATGACCTGGTCAATATAAACGTTTACAGACAGCCTTGCATGTGACTACAGGCACCTTGGTCAGACTGTCCAACACATCATTCAAGGCAGCCATGGCCCTCTAGAGGGCCTTCCTGGGCCTGGGGGCTTCAATGCACTCCATGAAGTCACAAGCGCAGCACTGACCTGGCCGTCACTCTAAGCTGTTCATATTACGAAAGAAGAAGTGACTTAATGTATTTCAGGTATTTGCAAACGAAGAATTTATTTCCAAAACGTGATACATTTATATCCATTTAAAAAGGGGAAATTTTCCCCTTCATTTGTTAAATATTAAACAATGAAAGCATTGCATGTAAGACGTGTTCCTAATCTTCATCTTCGCTGTATTAGGTTGTGCTTAACATAAAACCAGTCAAAACTGATTTTTGGGTGACCAGATGATGGTGGGATTCTACAACGTGCAAAAATGGCGCTTATTGGGTTTTATAAACAAACTCAAGTTTCCTGGCAGATCTGATTCCCCAAAGTATGCCTGAACAAGTTTCCCATTAATGACAACGCTCATAGGTTAAGTCAGATTATGAGGATCATTACCAATTGTGTACTTTGGTGTTTACATATTTCTTCACCTTCCAGTGAAACAGTAGGTCCAAGACTTTAACATGGTATTGAGATAAGCGATTTTACTATCCGAGATTTGCATATGTAGTCCAGTTGCTGGTGCGATTCAACTTCTATCAGCGTCCCTATTTAACTTTTGAATTCTTCAGCCTGTTGAATTCTGCCACTCGCTGGACTCCCCTTGGTTAATACGCCATTGCATCAGGCAAAGAGAACAACGAAATATACCGCCCCAAGTAGCTGCGATAACCAATCCCTGGTATGTTCCTTCTGTCAGCGCCGTGCCCCCAGAACGAAGACATCCGTCAGGCTGACATGGGATGGTATTGATTGACGACGTTGTTTCGAGGTGCCATTTTGTCTAATTTCGCGTCCTTCTGTACTTCTGTCTGTGATTCATTCGCTCACTTTTTTCTCTCTTTCCACTATATACACACGACTCTCTTTTGTGACAACACAGCGGAAAAGGCTACTAATGCACGACTCCATTATCTACAAACACTGGATATGAGAGGTCGTGGAAACAGGAAACTCAAAATAACAAAAGATTCCTGACAAGACCTCTGCGCAGCGGTGGCATGGCTTTTAGTGCTGCTGGTGATGACTGGTGGTGAGGACAGTGATTAGAAATAATGGAAGGCCGAGTGTGTTAGTGTAGGGCTTCAAATTACTAAGCAATCACTATCCAACCGAAGATCTGTTATCAAATGTAATAATATACAATTGGAAACCTGACACGAAAGCTTCTTTCCGTGCTGAAAATGTGACCCAGCTCAACCGTCAAATAGCATCAAAAAGTAGGCCTTTACGGCATTCTTAGTGTGGAAAAATAGGTGTTAGCCACCTGAATACCTTGATCATTAATGACGTAAATTAATTTGAAATTAATCCTCTGGCGCCTTTACAAGGCAAACCAATACCAGCTCCCGTTGGGTGTGTAAGATGTCACTGGAAAATTAAAGTCACACTTATGCAAATTAACAAGTGATGGGTTAAAAATAATAGCGTACACTGGGGCAAATTCGAGCAACGACTTTAATTTAAGAGGTTACGGCAGCCATCGTCCTTGACAGTGTTTTTGTTCCATAGGGATACACATGAGTTGAGTACATGTAACTCTTGTGCACATCCCAAAAGCACTGGCTGGGAGAGATGACTGCCGTGCATTGCATATTGTTTGGTGACCAACAACACCGCCTAAATGACCATTTGGAACCAATGCTTGATATCGGGAATATGTACTTGGCGCTAGTCTGTGTGCTTAAATTATATTTGGTACCAGTTTTGAATGATGGAGTTTTAAAAGTATGAGGGTTCATCATCCACGAATTCTTAGTTTAGTTTTTTTTCTGCAGTTACCGAAAATAAAGAGATCGTACAATCCAAACGAACTGTGTTATCCCTTTAACATGGCTCTATATTACAAAATCTGTTAATATTTAATGATAAATGTAATCCTCGGGCTGCTTGGGTAAGTCTGTCTAAAACACATCTACATTTTCTTCCAAAACACGTGTACATTTTCTCCCATGGAAACAAATTAAATACTGTTGTTCGGATATTACAAACTACTTAATCTCCTGCAGTCGTATTTTCAGCTGCCAAAGTTGTTCGGATATTACAAACTACTTAATCTCCTGCAGTCGTATTTTCAGCTGCCAAAGTATAAGTTGTTTACTTACTTGACAATTTCCGACGCCGAGCACATGTTGTTTGTCAATACGCTGCTGATGTCTTGCAACAGGAACGTTAGCCTTGCTAAGGTAAGCCAATGAGATGAGAGAGGAGGAAGTCACTCAGCTCTTGACCAGTACGTTGAATCAGAATACAGGAACAACTGAATTTAGTTCGCAGAATGCTCACGCTCACAAAATCCTCAACTGTTTGCGAAAGTGTGTCGGCATCCCTGCCTGCAAGACAAAGCCTTTAGAATCCAATGTAGGCCTACGGAACCAATCGAAAAATTGCTTATCCAACGTCCGCAGAGTCGTCAAATCACAGAATCGATTGTAGGCCTTTCCACACCCTCTCATGTGCGCAACAAACTGCAGCCTGGCTGCGGGTCGCACAGTGCTTCGGAGTCCTTCGAAAGGGATAAGCCTTTGTTTTCTTTCCATTTTGACGAAACTTTGCCAAAACCTCGCGCCCTTTTAACCGAAAACAGTGGGATACTGTACGGGGCTTAAGGACTTACAATCAGAATCGCCCTGCGCTGTCGAAGCAAACGCTTTGACAAAAGCTAAAGATAACAATGTGAACCGTAAGGTTTTGTTTCGATCCACAAGGACAACGAACATGTAAAGGGATTTAAGGTATTTAGACAGTTTCAAATTGAAATCCCATCTGCGCTGCTAAGGGTTCTGATGGAAGCGTTCTACAGCTTTTCTTGCTTTGGTGGAGCTTTTTTATCACTCGTGCTTTTCATCGTTGACAAAGAAGTTGAAATCGAAAGCCAAGAAGCACCCTGGTAGAATAACATGTCAGCACCTTCACGGGAAGCTAAAAGGCAACTTCGGAGAAGAGGTTGCAGTTGAGCGTCCCATCCTATGAACCGCATGACTAAGGGTCAGTTACACAGTATAGCAAAGACTGCGGCTAGTTTTTATTGAATTCTTAGAGAGTTCCAACAAGAACTGAAGAGAAAAAACTAGGAATAGACTTCTTGCTTATCTTTGATATTTCAAAATGTTATCTCCGAGCTCATTTCAATACCATGCTGTCGGGGCAATAACCTGTTCTATGTATAGAGGAATATATAATCTGAAACTGTCCCATACTCGATTTCAAATTCATATGTAACCAGAGAAACCCTCCTCCCCATGACATTTCGATGCCAAGTTAGGCCATTGATAACCACATGAAGTTTTTCCCGCCTTTACTTCGCTCGTCACCTAGCGCCCAAACAGGGTGCTGATAAGGGCTGATGGCTTTGCACTGTGATTTGCTACATTGTGCACGACCTGTGACTGCGAGGTTATCACTTCCTGTTAGCGAAGCGTTATTTAAATTTTTTGGTTCGCCAGTGGCAATGCTTTGACACGAGCGAAGTCTCGGCTATAATAAAAACATGGTCTTGGTATTGTGACGCGATAGATGGCGCTCTGCACGGTAACAGACGGCAAATGTCAACCTCGACACCATGGACTGCTTGTGCGTTCCTTCACTAGACCCTGGTTGCGTAGAATTCGAAAATGACGCTGATGACCGGCTATTCAGGTTGAATATACATAAACGTAAAGTGAATCCATCGATCTCCATTATATAGACAATCATAGGCCTACACGTATTTCCAAAGCTACACGCTCGCTCGCGCCCCTGTATTCTCCTTCGCTTCACACACGCGTAAATCTGCATTGCTCGTGAATATACTGACTAAAGAAATATGGAAGGGCTGCATAGCGTAATTTAAATATCCCAACTAGTTGGATATAAATTGGCAGGGGTAAGATCACGCAAGCTATGTTGGGAACCAACATGGCGTGACAAGATCATACCCATGGGAACCAGCTGGTTGGGCAGATGTATACTTGCAAATGTATACTTGCGTGTAATTGTAAGATGAGCGGGCGCAGTGCTTAGGCTCCGCCTTGCGCGTGGGCAATCGCAATGCTAGTCACTGCTTGGTCACATGTAGTGGGCGCGCAGGCGTGATGAAGGGGCTGTGTATTTGGTTCGATTCTGCTATAACAAATCCAGGTCTGTGGTTTAGGCAGAGCAAGCAACTGAGTTTGATACACCTTGTACGTTGGTGTAAGGGCCGTCAGCGTGACTAGTGTCTAGTCCTGAGTGGTGCGTGTGTCGATAGTTGGGGGGCTTATGATGGGTTAAGGGGCTGTTTGGTAGTGAGGAGCTCCTTATGGGAGCTTATACGGTCAATTGATTTTTAAAGGGTGGATCGCTATCTCGCAGCACGAATTGTGAGTTTAGTTTCTAATCTAAGCGGGATCTTTAGTGTTCTGTAATGACTTTACTCTTTAATGAATTTACAGTCCTGATTTTTCCTATGTGCACACGAGATTGCCGTATTTAAGCCGGTCTCCTTTCGAGCCATTTTATAGCAAAAAACTGAACACAACCGAAAAACCTGAGAGGAAATTACCAAAATCGCACCCCTGTGCGTTTTCAATGGCCCGCTCACACGTCTTGCTGCCAAGGCCATTAGTGCGCATGCGTGCATAATTATGAATTTATAAGTGAAAAGGTCTATAGATAGAGCTGAAGGTTTCAAATTTAAAGGTGTTTCTCTAATCCCCTGGGAAATAAATACGTTCATCAATGCCAACCCAACGTTCTTTCGAAAGAAAATTGAAAGGGCCAATATGTGTCATTACTCGTTGTAAGATTTTACTGAAATTGAGACAAAGACAGATTGTTATATCACGCTATGTGAGTCAACAAAAGTATGATTTTGAAAAGGTTGCCATGTCGTGAATGCTCATTTATGCCTACGAACAACAGATTACAAAGTTGCAGGAAGTGTTTGGATCTTCATGACCAAATCCCCCCCCCGAAAAAGGAGGTGACCACTGCTGGCTTCGAGCTGAATTCATCTCGTTTCATTTCGCTGACCCAGTTATTGTCTAATCAGACTTTTCGATAACCTATTAAAAGGCTGTCTCTTCAACAACTGTTCCGAACCCCCAACTCCGCCAAGAAATCCCCAATTCGACCGACGAGCGCGGCCACGCGTGAGTGGTAGCATCTGCAACTTGAATACTTGGGTACATGACGTGTTAGCCATTTGGTGACATCTTATTTGACAATTTGACCACTTGATAGGTAGACAGTCGTTATGACAAATTTGTATGGTATCAGCTTACAAAAAGTGCAACATTAGCTGACCCAAGGAGATTTTGTTGTCAACATCAAAGTGCAATTTTTTTCAACTGTCGGGGGAATTTGAAGATACATGTAGTGCTACGCATTAGTCCCCATTGCGCTTGAAACTGTTTATTTAGGCCTCCCACTATGCAAGGAGAAAAGTATAATGTGGAAGTTAAAAAAGATATGGGTAGACAAACTGAACTGACGCAAACAACAATTTGTATACGTCAACAACTTGCCGATTTAAAGCACGCTTATTTGAATGTCCCTTCTCGCCTTTTCCTCGAATTTTCCCGAGTGGAAACATTTTATTTATAGGTCCCTTAAATCTTGTAGTCATTAGTCATTTTCAGGTGCACTCGGGCCAAGCTTTGTTCGGTACAATCGTCAGTAAGCTGCAAGCCGAAATCAAGAAAGGCAAATGGGAAGAGTACTCGAAATAACACAGATTAGATTACGTGACAGGCTCTCGAGACAGATCTCGAGGGTGATGCTACATGTCGTGCATGCGAATTTCGATCAAATGGCCTGATGCATTGGCCTTACGGGCATGATCCGAACGGAGCATCAGGTTATCACATAATTATGATACCTAATTCATCTTCTAAAGTGAAAACGATGGTCAAAGTCGTGGCAAAGGTGGGTGCAACCTCGGAATGTCCCCAACGTGGTTGTTCGTGGCAAATTTTAAAACTAATATGCGTTCCTTCCTCCATGCTCAGTGCTGTGAAGTAAAACGAACCTACTGTCGTTTGACACAGCTGAACTGCAGTGGTTCAGATAATACAGTGAAGACCATAAGGCCCCAGGCTACCGCAGATAAAATGCACATTTAAAGCGTGCACTCTGTGAACTGCCCTGAATAAATTTTACTCAACAATGTAATCAGTATTTCCACCGGAAACGCGTGTTAGTGGGCACTGAAGTGCTGTGAAGATTTTTTATAAAGCAATGGTTTGGTTTTTATGCATTCTGTTCCGTCGTTAAGGATGATTGAATGTGAAGAAGTAGCAGCGACTCAGTGCATTCAAGCACTTACCAGGAATAATGACCAGCGGGAGGCACGTTGTTGACCGCCGTCAGAACGGGGAAGGGGGGGACGCAGGGTTCCCAGTGCGCAACGAAAGGATTGGAAATCTAACGCACAAGGTTGAGACAAAAACTAACTACCGTCTCGGCCAACCGGGGTTTTCAGGGTGCCAGCGCCTGCTGACCTCGCGTGGAAAGGAGACCTACCTCTTTAAGGGGTTTTATAGGAGAGGTGAATCATTATTCATCAGGGGAAAAATGACTTTTTTTGTATTTCAGGGGCATCGCTTGAGATGGAACATCCCGTTACATCCGGGTTCCTCAAAGCCACCGATTTCATATCGGCATGAGCGCAACACCCGTTGCAAGTACGGGCGATTCACAACAGTGCGCCACCAAGAGTTTGCAACGCGTTGACCAATCACAGTGCACGAAATCTGTCGACCCTTTCCAAAACGCGCGTTGGGTCGACAGATTTCGCGCACTGTGACTGGTCAACGCGTTGCAAACTCTTGGAGGCGCGCTATTATGAAACGCCCGTATTGTTTTGATCCTCCCATGAACACTTAAGGTTGAACGAGTTAAAAGAACGGGAGGGAGTACAGGGAAAAGAACAGCCTGGTCATTCGCACCGTTGATTTAAAGTGGAAGTCACCGGTGCATCCTACCGACAATAGACGTGAATTTTAGCTGCAAACACAGCGGTATTTATTGTGTGAAATTAACACTGGATTAACTCCACCGTTGTTACAGCGTGTGCATAAAAGTTGTTTGCCATTTTTGTCACGAACACTAAGCAT